TCACACTTGTCCCCAGTTATGCTAGAGAATCACCTAGCTCTCTTTCCCACCCCACAGATAGCCTGGCTTGCCCAAGACATGATTCATTTCTCCAGCAGATTCTGTCTCTGCCTCTATCTGTTATCACAGACTTTGAGGCTTGCAAGGCACCTTTTAGTCCTGGAGTATCTCGATTCAAGCATTAGCTATCTTTGTGGCTTAGCTGAGTGTAAGGCAACAAGGGCTGTCCATGCTGAGAGCTTAGGTGGGTGTGGGGGCATTTGGAGGACATTTGGCCTCAACCTGTGAAAGGAAAACTGCCCAAAACTGGAGTAAGTCACCTGCTTTGCTGACACAGATGCGATGCATCGCTCATCTCAGAGCTGCTGATCTGATGTCGCTCTGAGCTGTCATCATCTGCTACAGCAACAGCATTTAAATGGAAGGAAGCACTGTCAGGACAACAAAATGATTTTTGTCTGGTGGGCAGCCTGACAGTGATCCCAGGGCAATCAGTCCTCCACAGCTCCAGATAGGAGCAACTGGAATGATTCAAGGCACCAGGAGCATCTCAATGAACCTCACACAGAAGGCTGGCCCTCTCATCCCAACCAGAGGCTGGGCACAGCCACAGCTGTTTCCAGGCTGGCCTTGGCACAAAAGCCTCTCTAGGGTTGGTGAGGACTGTATTGCCTCTGTTGACTTCCCTGAAAATCTTCCCTGGAGATATGAAAAAGCTGGACACAATCCTGAGTAATATGTTCTAGGGACCCTGTCTGAGCAGGAGGGTTGGACTAGATGATCTCCAGTGGTCCTTCCAATCTTAATTCTGGGATTTTGTGATTATCTCCTGGACTGGAGAAGGCAAGTGTTTGGACATGGAGGGTAAGTCATAAAACCATCCAAGATCTGGCTAATCTCTCTTCCTGCAAAATCAAAGTATACCAATGGGGGAGGAGAATCCTTCTATGGTATGAGGACCAAAACTTGAGTTCATTGAGCTGAAATAAAGTCTCTGCCTTGCTGATCCCAGAGAAACATTGCCTTCATGTGGGCACCACTGGGCAGGTGATGGGGAACAAGGATTGTGGAGCCATTTAGTGGCTCTGGAGCATGATAGGCACACTTTATATCCTCATTGTCTTTGCTGTGGAAATGTCCCCAAAGCTTGGCTAATGAAAATGTCAGCTCTGCCCTTGTACAGGGGAGTGAAAACAAAAGCTGGAATGTGGTATCAGGTCTTGGTTTTAGTCATGGATTAGTCTCCGCTGTGGCAGACATTGCTATCCAGGCAAAAACCAGATTAAATCAGTGAATCCAATTTTCTTGAAGTACCTTATGGGCAATGTTTATGCTTGTTGGTTTCAATGTAAATGCGATCTAGGACCACACTTGTGGTTTGGACAAGAGGGAGAAGATGTGCTAGCAGAGTACTCACTAAGAGACCTTCTGGCTCTCCACAATTCCCTGACAGGAGGGGCCAGCCAGGTGGGGGTCAGGCTCTGCTCCCCAGGAACAAGGGACTGGACAAAAGGAAATGGCCTTGAACTGTTCCGGGAGAGGTTTAGGTTGGGTATTGGGGGAAGTTTCTTCACAGAAAGTGTGGTCTGGCTTTGGAAGAGGCACTCAGGGAAGTGGTGGAGTCCCCACCTCTGGAAGTGTTCAATAGTCATGTGAATGTGTCACCTGGGGGCAAGGGTTGGTGGTGAACATGATGAGTCTGGGTCAATGAACTCGCTGATCTTAGAGGACTTCTACAGCTGTAAAAATCCTGTGATTCTCTGACACTGCTAATGCGTGAACCTCTCTGGAATTCAAAGGGATGAGCACCTGCTTTTGGTGTTGATTGTGGTGAGCTACCTGGACAAGGATGCTCAGCTCATGTTTGCAGGCTGACACTGTGTTTACCTTGTGTACATGAGACCAAAATGTGGACTTGAAAAGTAATCCCTACCAGGGCCCTTTGCTTCTAGATGCAATGAGCTGGAGAGGGCAAACCCAAAAATAAATAACTTAAAAGCCATAATGTTCTGTTTTGAGTTGTTATTTGTTTGCCAGAGCTTTCTGGGGCTCACCAGCACCCTGCTTAGTGAGGATTGTCTCTTTGTTTTGCAGACTGGCTTGGTTATGCCAGCAGTGTGATTGGATAACTTTTGATAAGCATAGGATTGCTGAAGTATTCCCCAAAGCCTTTGGTTTGCTGTAAAAATCCTCATCAGCAATTGGATTAGTTGAAGAGAATGAACAATTACTACATGGGGTAATGTGTTGTGTTAAGACAAATTGATGGGTTTTATTTAATCGTATGGTCTCGGTCACATCTTGATGATGTTATTCCTATGAAGGAAAATGCATCACTGAACCAGTAGGTACTAACAAAAAGTAGTGAAAACTGCTTTATTTAATTAGTTCCTAAAGATAAAGCAAATTGACTCTGTACCAAAACAAAATGAGTTAGGCTTTTGCTTTCAGATTTATTAGCTTTGCATATCTTCTTGCACACATACCACAGATAAAGTTCATATGTTCTGGACCTTGGGAAAGGTCTGTCTTCGTATGAAAAGCAAGATCCAAATCAGAAATAGGACCAGCTGATCTGCCCACCTGGTGTTCTCTAGTTCACCGTGGCTCTGTCATCAAAGGCCCTGCAGACATTTAACTAAATCCGTGTTCCCAAGACTCAGTAAAAGCTGGAAATTGCTGGCTGAGGTTACACCAGGCACTGAGAGACAAGAGAGTCACAGGAGATGAGAGACAGGCTTTCTCTGCTTTACTCATGTGCTAGAGAATATGTCCCAGCAAATGTGGGGGAGTTTCACTGAGTTTCACTGTCTTGTATCCCCCCAAGACATTTTTGTCTGAAACACAGCTGAACTGCAGCCTGGTGGCACAAGCTGCTGTGTTGATGTGTGCAGAGGGTTTAGCACTTTTACCTGCTCTGGCACCTTGTCCTCAGGCCCCATGGAGGCCTGGGGGTGCTGAATGGCTCACCTGTGACCTGCTGCAGCAATTCTCCACTGGGAGGACACATGGCCATCAGAGGTTGAGCAATTCACCACGAGTTCCCTGGCAAGTACCAAGCACACACAGCAGTCAGGAGGCTTTTCCTCACAATTCCCTTCAGCAATGGGCCAGGGAAGTGCAGGGCTCCCATTTCATTGCTCAGCCTTTACTTCTGTGTGGTGAATTTGGGCCAGGCCGTCAGCAACAAATACAACCTGCAGGGGAACAGGGTATGTGAGTGGCTCTTTGGCCTGGGTTTGCAGCTCTGTCATTGAGGAACAGCAGGTCTGATCCAACCACCTCTGGTTTTAATTAATATCGTGGTCAAATCATGCTGTTATCTGACAGCAGGGGAAATTATCACCTCGAGAAGCACTGCTGTGGGTGGCACATATTGTGTAACCTGCTCTCTCTCAGAGGGGCACTGTGGAGGATTAGTTTGTATTTAAGAGATGCTGTGTGCGATTATGCAGAGTTTTGCAAACCGTCCATTTCTGATAGGCCTTCTCCTGTTGTTTCTCCTGCTGGCATCTGGCTTGCTTGGGACTCCCTGAGCTGCTGGGATGGGCTGGCCCTGCCTGCCAGGGAGATGTGAGCAGAAGGGATCTGGGTGAAGAAGGCATGATGTGCATGCTTGTGCTTTGGGGTGGCACAGTGTCTCTTGGTGCTGTTGTTCTGGGATATTTTGTACCATTCACAAAGATGAAAACAGAAAGAGGTAGATGGGGTGTGCAAAAAGTGTAAAAGGGCAGGTGCCCCATTCTGGGGCTGATCCTCAGCAAGTAGGCATCTCTAATAGCTTCACTCGAGTCCCATCTTTCATCTCTGAGTTGACTCTTTCCCTAGTTTAAGAGCCAAAAGTTTTGCATGATGCCTGTAAATGCTCCAGGAATGTAGGAATTAACACACTGGACTGGGCCAAGGGCCTGTCCAAGAGAGGATCTTGAGCAAGGTGCAAGCCAGTGCCAGATGTTTTGCAAAACGCCTCCACTATGGATATCTTTCACACCTCATTTCTTCCTCATTCCCATCAGCTTCATGACTGGTCTCATAGCAGCCCATGTTGTGCTTCCAGCAGCTGCTCTTTCCCTGCATGCAGCTCATGAGGACTGGTTGTTGAAGGATCTCAGCAAGCACACAGGGCCTTCATCCCTGCTCTCAGAGGTGGAAGTTGTCTCATTCACATCCTGAAGTCAGTGAGAGGCGATTTTTCAGAGCAGAGATTATTTCCTTGCCTGTGAGACATTTTTAGAGAGGCAAGGAAGTTACTTGCAGGGAAAGCCTATAATTCAGGGGAAACATCAAAACTTCAGTGAGATAATATCCCAAATCCAAATATTTTAGAAAGCAGGTTTTGTTGTTTCTTTCCTTTTCTAGAGTGTTGAGTCTATATCACAGAATGGTTTGGGTTGGAAAGGCCCTTTGAAAGTAATGTAGTCCAACCCCACTGCCATGGGCAGGGACATCTCTCACTAGACAAAGTTGCTCCAAACTCCATTCTACCTTGAACACTTCAAAGGATGGCATATCCATGTCTTTCTTGGGCAATCTGTGCCAGGGCCTCACCACCCTCAGCAGAAAAAAAATTTTTTCCTTCTGTCTAGTCTGAATCTCCTCTCTTCTAGTTAAAAACCATCACTCCTTTTTCTATCTCTGAAGGCTCTATTAAGACTTTTGTTCTTTTTCTGTTTACGACAGGAAAGCCAAAACAAGCTCGAAGCAGTTTTCATCAGTACACACTTCAACTTGGAGCCAAAAAGAGACTTTGAACCCAAATCTATGTTTTGGCTCCAATGTTTTCTTGGAGGAGAAATGCCATTAGTCAAAACCAGCACTTTTTCTTGTAATCAGCTTTGACTGACTTGTTCTCTTTTATTTGTATGTTTTTTTATAAACCTTCTGGAAGAGGAGAGTAACAGCCGTTCGCCCAACCCCTGCCCCGGGTGGGCGACCACGGGGCTGGTCTGCCCTGGTGGCTGCTGGCCCCCATGACCACTGTGCTCTTCTCTTCCAGGTGCTCCCTTTCAAAGGTCTCAGCATCCCCATGCTACCTCCTGCCGGCATTTCCACCTGGGTCCCCAGCCTCAGCTCTCCGCCGACTTCGCCCTGCCTCACGCGGTGCAGCCGCAGCCGGGGCTGGCTCCCCACATGGCCCCCGCGCACCAGCACAGCGGCCCCCTGCACCAGCCCCTGGCGCCCGTGCCTGCCCTGCCCTTCCAGGACGTCGCCGGGCCCTCCTTCCTACCTCAGGCGCTACACCAGCAATACCTCCTCCAGCAGCAGCTCCTCGAGGCACAGCACCGCCGGCTCATGCCCCATCCCAGGTAAGGGGACCCCGCTCTTCCCGAGGGATGTGGAGAAGCCGCGCCAGCCTCACGTCGCCTGTGGAACCCCGGCCGCGCCGGCGGTGCTGGGCTTTCTTCTCAAGCTCATCTGTGTGCCCTGAAAATGCATCCACCGGAAGGGAGGCTGCAGGGCAGGCTGCACCTGAAGGTGGGCCCTTCCTGCGGGGATCCCAACTGTGCTACTCTAGTGTGTCCCATTATTGTCACTCCTAGGAGAATCATGATGGCGTTGTCGGGGACCTTTCCTGTCTCTGAGTGCTTGAGCTACATCCTTGTAGCTGCTGTTCCAGAACCATGCAAGAGGCTGTGTCCACCTCTCACCAGGTTATACACATGGAGGTCTTGCTGCTCAGCGTTTGGCAGGCTTTCCCTCTTTGTGAGGGAATGATGCCACTGACCTGGAGCACACTCTGTCACAGAGAGCATCCTAAATCCACACTGAGCTGACAAATGCAGAGAGAATTGCTGTAACTCAGCAGAGATGGAAAAGGATGCCTGGCCTTGTCTTGATTGTGTTTCTTGAGAGAGGAGTGATTTTTTTTGGAAACATATGGAAGCTATTTGTGGGTTGTACCCATGGATCAAGAATCAGAGGATGAGACTTTGCAATGATGCTTCATTTGGAAAGAATGTTACGGATAGAAAACCCTATCTTTCCATGTCCTTTCTGCCTGAAAATTGTATGTTCTTCTCATCATTGTTTTGTTTTTCATAAGCTGGATTTTAGGTGGATTTAATGATTAGCTAATAATTGGGTAGCAAGTATGTTCAAGGCTGAGAAACTGATGATACAAGTGTTTATCTCTTAGTCATAAGCTGAATTCAAATAAAAGCACAGAGCACAATTCCACGCAGAGTCAGCTTTGGTAAGAGCTGTTAGTGTTGTATTTGCAAGTGGGCTGTGGTGTGGAAGAAGGCAGGAACCTCTTGCCCAGTCCCAGGGCTTGTCTCTGAAAGCTGCAATGGAGCAGAATGTCAGAACCCTTACAGGTATGGGGCAGGAGGTCCCAGCAATGGGAATATAGCTTATGCCTTTGAGATTGAAACCTCTGAACTGAGGCTGCATGAAAAGTTATTTACCTGACAGTTCCCTGCTCCATTTGCCCTGTTTTTTTTTTTCCTGGAGATTTTCTCTGTGATGGTTCCACTGGTATAAAGTAACTTCTCAGGAAGCAAAGGTTAGGAGTCTGTCTGTAATGCAAATCCTGCCTGTGCATCCACCTTGTCTCTTGCCAAATGTGGGCACTGATCCAGCAGCACACGCTCTTCCTCTGAGTAGTTCAAATAAGCAGTAATAATGAGACTCAAATCCCTAGAAAAACCTTGCTGTATTTTCTAGCACTTTCTTTTCCCTGCCTGCAATGGCAGCAAAGCAGAGGGAGAAGGATCTGGAACCCAGCCTGGCTTGTCCATCATCCAAAGAAATGTTGGCAAAGGCCAGTAGGAGTTAATTCTGCTTTCAGTCACTCGTGAGTAATCTGGTTATGAATGAGGTTCCCCAGGAGTTTATGGACTGCACAGGAGACGAGACAACCTGCAGCTTCTTTATGGTGATGGATCACGGCTGAAGCAGGGGCACATTTTACCTTGTGTGTTGTTTGTGGGGCTGACTGTAGCAAAAAAGGAAATAGTGCAGACTGCACAAAGCTGCCGAGAAGTTGTTTGGCTCCCCTTTTTCTCTGAATGTTGCCAGCAAATAGGATCTCCTGTAAACTGAGCGTATTTGGGTGCCACAGGGCCTGAGAGTGGATTGCTACGTGATGGCTTTGAGGGAATGACAGCCCTGGGTTCCTCTTCCAATCATCCTTTACACCTGCCTGGAGTGCTTTGCTTTGGACACTTTTCCACAAGCCCAGAGTTTGTGGTTTGCCCAATTCTTGACAGGAATTCCAGCGTCCACTCGTGTCTGACCCTCCCTGTTGCTGCTCTCCTCCCCACAGGCGGGCCCAAGAGCGCATGTCTGTCCAGCCTCACCGCCTACACCCCAGCTTCGACTTCAGCCACCAACTGCAGACTCCACAACCCATGGGGCCCCAGCCCAGGTATTTGGCAGAGGGCACAGACTGGTAAGTGGTCCCCATTTCACTGCTGCATCCAATGAGGGGTTTGAAAAGTCCTGGGAAGGCTGCGAGTTTTGGGGAATGCCATCAGGCATCAGAGCTTTGATGAAACTAATGAGTCAGCTCAGAGGTTACAGTGTGGGGAGTGTGCAGTGGGAAAACTCCTCTCTGAGAGGTCTGAGAGAGTGTGAAAGCCTCCTCTATAAATGAACCATTGAATCATTTAGGTTGTAAAAAGCCTTGTAAGAACATGAAGACCAACCATTCCCCAGCACAGCCAAGGCTACCACTGACCCATATCCTCAAGTGCCACATCCAAATGGCTTTTAAATCCCCTCAGAAGTGGGGACTCCAGCATTGCCCTATGCAGCTGTGCCAGGACTTGACAACTCCTTGGGTGAAGATGTTTTCCCGAATAGGCAATCTAAACTTCCCATGGCACAACTTGAGGCTGTTCCCTCTCCTCCTGTTCCTTCCCCTCCTCCTGTACCCTGGGAGCACAGCCCGAATCCCCTGGCTGTCCCCTCCTGGCAGGGAGTTGTGCAGAGCCAGAAGGTCCCTCCTGAGCCTCCTTTTCTCCAGGGTGAGCCCCCCCAGCTCCCTGAGTTACTCCTCATCAGACTTGTGCTCTAGAACGTTCCCCAGCTCCATTGCCCACATTTAGGCACACTCCATTGTTGTTGCTCATAACTTTTCACCTACAGATTTAGAATGAAGCCAGGCATTAATTCCCCCAAGTTGTTCTTTGTGCTGTAGGGCACAGAGAGTGTTTTTCTCTGTAGACCACTGTTTGCCTGAACTAGACCCTTTGCTGTCCTTCAGGCACTCAAAACCCAGAGGCCATAATATTTTCTGTGGTTCCAATTAGGGAGCATCATGCTACCCTGCCATGCAGGGTGGTATAAATGGAGGTTTGTTCACCATTCTCCAACTGCAGTGCTCAATACCCTGGAAAACCTTTGCAGGAAATTGTTCATTTCATTTTCAGAACAGGTTGAGAGCCCTTGAACAGTTAATAAAGTATGGTAACCTGGTCGGTCAAAAGAACGAGAAAATAAAAACATTCTTCTGAGTCATTGCTTGTAAGCTAAGCAAAGTCCATTCTGTGAACTGAATGGAAAAAAATATCATGTGAACTTGTAATTAGAGACAATCGCAATGTATTTGCACAAGGGGACCAAAATAAAATGGCACAGGAAGTCCTAATGATGGCATTTCCTAACATCTGAGCACTCTACTCTGCAAATGAAAAGTCCTTGTAACCCAGGGTTGTTTCTTTTTTCCCCCTTCAGTGCATAATACACAATCTAAAATATGACCACATCCTTCTGCAATTTTCTTCTCAGGTGCTCCCATTATTGGCACTCCTGTGGGCTGAGTGTGGTCGGGATGACATTGTTCGGGTTGGTTTGCAAAGCAGTTCATGTACCATCTGGATAGAGCGATTCTTCCTGCCTCTCTTTCAGCTCAGAGTGCTTAATTATAATCATTAGAAGTATCTGATAGAGCATCACTAAGTGCCTTCCCCCTCCCTCCTTTTCTCCTCTCTGTTGCTCCATAGCCTTATGAAACCTAAGGAGTGGGGGTGACAGGAACCATACATGGTGAGCATATGTTTGGGTGACTCACTTTCCCTTGGGGCACATGTACAGTTTTGCCCAGTGACAAATATAAAAACTACCCTCTGATGTGTTACCCCCGGATGAGCAGCAACAGCAGTGTTTTCTCTGAGGCTGTAGGTGGTGGGCGCTGCCACAGGAGGTGGAAGTGGGGAGGGAAGGAAGATCTGAGGAAAGATCAGTCGTCTCAGCCCAGCCCCAACTGAAATCTTCTGCTGAGGAATAAATAAAGTCCCATTTGGTTCATTAAATCATCATCTGCACACACATGTAGTGATGACCATCCTACCTGTTGTCTGGTGTCTTATCCTTCACCCCTTGGTTGTTGGCAGCCCATTTGCCACAAGCATCAGAGCTCTCGAACCTCTCACCTGAGCATCAAGGTGCTGTACAGTTGTTCATGTAACATGGGCTAGAAAATAATGGTTAGCTCCATTCTCCTTCAGCAAGTGTGCTCTGCTTCTTCACCCCCAAACCCTGAGAAAACTCTGTTCCGTGCTGTATCCTTCTCTGGACACATTTGTAGACCCAACGCATCACTTCAAAGAACCTCAACGTCTGATTTTAAGTCTCTAGATGCACAAAAAGTTCAGCAATTCTGTTATTGCAATTACTCGTGCAATTTAATAATGGCCATTCACCTTTGAGAGATCTTTTCAGTCCTTGATCTCAATGCACTCCATGAATTACCACATCTGTTCCATAGACAGGGAGCATGGGAAGGCAGAGAGGAAGTGGATCAAGGTCATGCATCAAGAAAGTGGCAGGGCTGGGAATGGACCCAAAGCCTCCTGATTTCCAATTGAGCTCTCCATCAACCTGGGAACAATCTTAAGCAATTGGGTAAATATCCAAAACGGGGATATATGAGCTGGAAAGTGCCAAGACCTGTAGATTCTCACCCTGGCTGTGTTCCTGCCAGTTGCCTGCTGTGTTTTATCCTCTGCCAGGTTTTGTCTGTCTAGCACATGGCTAATACAGGGCCAGCAAAGGTAGTCCCTCCCCTGGCTTCAACTTAATATCATAGAACTACAGAATATCCTGAGCTGAAAGGGACCCATGGGGATCGTTGCACCCAGCTTGTGGTGGGTATTAGGGAGTTCTAGAGCACTGGTGCTGTTGCCTGGTGCACAGGCTGTTCTGGATGAAGGATTTCTGCATCTGCTGTCCCCTCAGGTCCCCTTCTTGTGGTGGGTGAAAGCAGTTTCACAGCTGCTGGAAGACACATCTGTCCTTCATGCAGGGGAGAAGTTGGAGGCTGAAATGGGAAGCCACCCTTGTGCTCCTATTAGCTTTGCCTTGGGAAATGTGAAGACAATTGTTACTAGAGCACAGGGTTTTGTAATGATGATAAAGTAAATGGTGTTCAAAGCACTCATTTGCCAAGTGACTCTTAGGCTGGAGAGAATAGGGATCAGCTAATTGGATTAGAGATGGAGATTCTGGTCCCACTCACACTCCCTCCATGTGGTGTGGTAGTGTAGTTTAACTCTGTTGGACTGAGCAGAGCTGTGATATTTGATGGGATCTTGGTTATGGCAAGTCTGGGGATTGAGCTGAGTTAGTTTTCTGGAGGATAAAAGTGCCCAAATTCACCAAGCTGAGCTCCATCTCTGCTCACCAGGTTGTCTTCAGGCAAGTAGGGCCATCAGGGATGTCTTGGTCCATTGGTGGTGTCCCTCCAGTTTTGTGACACCCTTTCCTACAGCAGCCTCATCCAGACATTTCTTAAAACCTTTATGTTTTTTGCACAAATTACAGTTCTGGAGTTCATAGAATCGTAGAATTCCAGAATGGTTTGGGTTGGACAGGACCTCAAAGATCATCTTGTTCCAACCTCTTCCATGGGCAGAGACATCTTCTACTATCCCAGGTTGCCCCAAGTTCTGTCCAGCCTGGCCTTGGAGAATTCCAGAGATCAGGGGCAGTGACAACTTCTCTGAGCACCCTGTGCCAGGGCCTCACCACCCTCACACCTCAAACCCTTGCCATCCTGAGAGTGGATTCAGGCAAGGTATAGTGTCCTTTGTCTCCCCAAATCCTGCTATGATCTGGGCTGGGAGACCTCTAAGGAGAGCACAGGCACATCAAAAAAGCCCACAGACGATGTCCATTAAGCTTTTAAAATCTACCAGAATGGTTAATTTTTGAGTCCCTTGAGTAACTGTGTGTGCTCCTGGAAAACACTGAAGGCAAACTGCAATAGTTTGCAGCACTGGCAGCACAGGAAGGTCCTGATCTGACCAGGCTGAGTTACTGAGCCTGAGTATCTTTTTGAGCCACCAAAATGCTCTTGCTCTGAAACTAGCAGGGTGCATCTGTGCAGCTCTTGACCCCAAAAAGCTCAAATGCTATCTGGCATAGAAACAACCCCTCACTCCTTCATGGTGGCCTGGTGGGTGATTCCCCAAACTAGAGGAAACTCCCTTCCAAGCCGTACCTTCTCCCCAGGCTGAGGGGCTCAGAGCAGCCTGGTGCTCAGCAGGGAGGTTGCCCTTTGAGCATGGTTTGCTGCTGCCCATGAACACAAGAGCACACTCAGAGCCACGTCCTCCTCCTGGTGCCCACAGGGACCTCAGCGTCGACGCGGGGCTGACTCACGCCCAGTTCCAGGTCCGGCCGGTGCCCCAGCCCTATCAGCATTACTTGGCTACACCAAGGATGCACCATTTCCCCAGAAGCACATCCTCAACCCAGATGGTAAGTGAAACGCTTTTACTGAGAAATGTTTTATGCATTGTCTGCCAGAAAGCAGTCAAAATAAAGGCTGCTATCTTTCTATCACCTGTCTTCTGCAAATCCCACTTATCTCCGGCCGTGGGAGGGAGTGTCTGAAAGGATAATGTTGCATCACTGCACTGGATTAGAGAAAGAAAAGAAAAGCTCAGCTGTTCTGGAAGGATTCGGTCCATTGCTTGCAGCACCACGTTCACAAGCTGGTCTGCAAAACATGGGCAGGATGTGAGAGACTCAGCAGTTAATATTAATAATATTATTTGTACTTGAAGGAGCTGTGATCTCCCAGGACTTTTTTTTCTGGCTTTGAATGCAGAAGGACTGGCAGTGGGTGACTGCCTTCCCTGGTGTCAGCTCCAAGGACCGTGCCTCATCACATTGTTGCTCTCCATGCTTTGATGCCACCTGTAAAGGTTTTACATAACCTCTTGCACAGGTGGAGGTGGGATTGATGAGAAGACAGGCTCTCTGTCTGACTGGGGTAATTTTCTACCCCTTCTCCTAGCAGGGTGGTGTATTTGGAACTAAGTCATGCCAAGCACTGCTAATCCTTAAAACATCCTCAGAAATCCCACGAGGGTGCTTTTCCCTTGTGCTGTAGTCAGATCCTAACACCTGTGCACAAAAACTAGCCTTTTAAAAAAAAAAAACAATCAAAGCTTGGATGAACAGAAATCTACCCATTTAAATGAAATAAAATTTCATTGTAATCTAATTAATATTGGGAGTTTAGAACCACAATGGATTATACAGGAATTATTATAACAGTTTATTTGTAAGAAGTGCATGCTCTTCTTACAAATTCCTCATTTGTAGGAATTGTATTCGATAAAACCTCATTTTTTTGTTATCAAAAGGCTTAAATTGGTGAAGGTGTCAATCTACTCTTTCAATTTGAATTTTTAAAGCATTAGATTTACATCAGGGCACACAAGGGTTTTCTGTAGGCAAGTACAGCTGGCTTTATTTTTCTGCCTCACTTTTTTCAGGTTGTTCATGAAATCAGAAATTACCCTTACCCTCAGCTTCAGCTGCTTGCTCTTCAGGGACTGAACCCAAGCAGGCACACATCCGCTGTGCGGGAGAGCTATGAAGTACGTATCTGGAGACTGGAATTACTCATTTTTAAAGTGCTGTGAGTTTATGCAAGCTCTGGTATAAAGCTGTAAGACTGTTTTTTATGACCTGGCAGTTGCAATGAGTGTTTCATCAATTTTAGTAGTAACTGGGAAGTGGCTGGGTTAAGTTTGGTAAAAGATGGTTTACTCCAAGGTGCCTGGGTTAGGCTTGGGTTGACTTTGGCTCCTTTCATGTCTGTGAACAAAGTGCTCCAGATCAATGGGGTTTTTGTTTCCCAGCCTGTCAGATGAAGCTCAGATCCCACCCTAATTTGTGAAATATTGGATATCCAGCTCTTTGCTTTGAGCTCTTAGTTATTATCCCAAGTGCCAGGGATCAGATCCATCATTACAGCATGGCTGATTTGGGTTTGATGGACATTTCCACTGAGGAGGGGACAGGAGGGAGCCTCGGTTGCCCGCAGGTATGGTTGTGTAGTGGGACCTGATGCCTTGGGAGCAGTGGGGACGGCACTTTCCTGATGTTCCTGTGCCACAGGAGCTGCTGCAGCTGGAGGACAGGCTGGGCAGCGTGAGCCGGGGCGCCGTCCAGAACACCATCGAGAGATTCACCTTCCCCCACAAGTACAAGAAGGTGAGTGCCCCAAAACACGGCACGGCTGCCAGCCCCTCTCAGTCAGCCAAGGGCTGTGGGCACAGAGCAGAAGGAAGGACTTTGGTGGGTCGCAATCCTCAGGGTTGGCAAACTGGCACCATCAACCAAACCATCCCCCGAGGCGGGGGAGGAGTGTAAAACCCAGCAGTGGTGCTTTGATTTCTTGCGGGGCTCCCGGGGCGGAAGCGGTGGCTCAGCTGCCTGTTTCTCACTTCTAGGCTAGGAAGCTGCGGGCCAAATTTTCAAAAGGGTCTCAACCTTCTCCCACCCAGCGGGTGCAATTTCCCCCCTGTCCGCAGCTGGTAAGAAAGTGCACACCACCAAGGGGGCTTCGTGCATGCAAACCTGCCCCGTTCTGCATGCAAGCGGCGCAGCCCCGCGCCCGCCGGGACCTTGTCCTCCCCTGGCTTCACGAGGGGTGTCTCCTCTGCCGGAGCTGACCTCCTGCCCATGAGGAAATGGGTGGCACAGTTTTGGGTTGTGCTAAGTAGGAACTGGGAAGAATGCTTGTCTGGGTAGTAGTTTCTTGTGTTGGTCACTCCCGGCTGGAGGGTAGGGATGTTGCATTGCCCAGGTTGGAAGTGAGGTAATTCCTGCTGCACTTGTCTCTCGTCGCATCTCCAGTGAACCCAGGAAAAAGATATGGGTAGGAATGGATGTGTGGGGGAAAAGGGGGAGCTGACAGGTTAAGCACTGCCCTGTGGTGCAGCATGGGGCTGGGCCAGTGGCCAAGCTGGCATAAGGGGCACAGTGGTTGTCCTTCCTGGCAGTGGTGGCACCATGAGCTTTGGTGTCTCTCCAAGGAGAAGCCTCCAGCTTCTGAGAGCTGAGTCGGAGGAGACCATGGGGTCAACCCCACTCCAAGGAAGTTGTGGGGAGCTGTATTAGGGCAGCAGAGGACAGGCTGCTCCTTGGGGTACTGCCACCAGCCTCACTGCCACCAGCCCCAGGAGGAGACATGCCAACCTGCAGCCTGTTGGTGACACAATCTTCTTGCTGGCTGTTTTGGCTGGGCTGGCTTCCCCAAGCTGGAAGATCTGGCTGATAGATGGAGATCGTATTGTTTATCTTCCTGCAACTACCCAGGATTGGGAAAGAATTAGAAAGGCAAGGTCTAACCAAATAATGTCTTTAACCTTGCTGCAGAGAAGACCACAGGAAGGCAAAGCTGAGCAAGACGATGGCGAGGAGTCAGATACCGACGAGAAATGCACAATCTGTCTGTCCATGCTTGAGGACGGAGAGGATGTCAGGTGAGATCCTTTCATCCACTCCTCTGCCTCATGATGCCATCTGAGTTGTGTTTATTTGGATCAATGCAGCTGTGCACTGGTGGGGTTGTCTCTGTTCTTGTCCTGAGAAACTCACCTGGGCTGTTGCAAGGTCTGGGAACCCAAATGCTTTGCAAACAGACATTGGTATGGTCCGCAGGCAGAAGGAGCCCTGCAGCAGCAGGGAGTCAAGTTTTTGTAGTGTTTCCTGGGTTTGGATCATCTGCTTCCAGGCTGTGCCAGCTGGCCAGGTGGCAAAGTGTCAGAGAAGGGTAGGTCAGACTGATCTCTGACAACCATCTGGAGCTTGGGGTCATCAACATCTGAGCTTGACAGATGACCAAAGTATGATAAAAAGCAGTGTTAGTGTGAAGTCCAGGAGAGTTGGGCTTGTGTCCAAGACACAGCTGCTTTATTGTAGAGTAAGTAGGATTACTTTGCCCACATGGTCACAGGGAGCCATCCCCAGCCAACAGAACTCCAGCTGTCTCTAACAAACATCCCAGGCTGTTGACTGGGTCAAATCTCTGCTTGTGAGAGAGGGTGGGGATAAGAAATTGCAAGAGGCTGAACTACCATGGCTGAAAGGACTGCAGGTGAGAAGTTCTCACCCTTAAAATGTCAAGAAAAGCCCTGATCCTTTTGCTGTGAGTTCTTATCATTCAGGGTTCTCCTGTATCACAAGGGTGATGTGTGGTGATGGCAGAGGTGATGTAGGTAAAATGTGACCAGTGTAGGAACGCTGTGGACCCACCTGTCTGCTCATGTGATATAACCATGAGGAGGCTTTGGAGTATTATCTCGCTCCTGAAAGGTTAAAATTTAGCAGCCAGCACAATTAATAACTGGAACAACTCAATTCAGGATGGTGTGTGGGTTTCTAATAGGCCAAGGAGGACACTATCTCCAGCCCACCACTCTGTGTGGCTGGGAAAGGCTGCAGGACCTTGGTGGCAATGGTGTCACCACAGCAAGGTTTCCCATGTTCAAAACAGCCCCAGATGCTGATTTTCAGCTCTTCTTGGTCCCTTGGACCTCCTCCAGCCTAACAGCGGTGTTTTTATCTCTGCAGGCGATTGCCCTGTATGCATCTCTTTCACCAAGTGTGCGTGGACCAGTGGCTGGCCACCAGCAAGAAGTGCCCGATCTGCAGGGTGGACATTGAAACACAGCTCGGCTCGGACAGCTGAAAAGACTAGCTGGACACACCATTTTCCTTACCAGGTCGTATGGCCATAAACCCTTGCAGCGAAATTTTTTGCCTTCTGAGCCATTTGATTGAGAGGGGAAGTCTGCAGGCACGTTAGTGAGGAGAAGGAGGTGGTGATACAATATCTAGCAGTAGGAGATATTGCACATATACGCAGGATACAGGCCCAGTGAAAGGGAGCTGGCATTCCCGGAGCTCAGAGACCCCCGTGCTGCAGAAGATTTTAGTGTTGAATATGAAGGAACTAGTTGTGGTAGTCCGGCCTGTCAATCCTGCTTTTCATGGGGATTGTATATATACCTCTCAAATATGTAGAAACATGTTAGGGGTCCTTTAGCTATTTCTATGGATGGCAGCTGGAGCATGTTAGCTTAAGAAATGTTGTGTTTGATGCCCTACTCATCTTGTGGTGGACATGTTGCTGTTACCTAATTTGCACCAAATATTTTTTCATAGATTCCTTATTTTGGTGCCTGATGAATACATTGCAGAGGGGGAATAAAGAGGTCAAACTTTCCCATCCTTGGGGTGGGGGAAAGAGGAGGAAAAGCAAAATCCTGTTTACAGTCAGAAGGGTTTGCGCTCTTTGCCTCAGCCGCGTGTGCTTCTTTCCCTTGCATTTAAAGTGTGTTGCAAATTTAGAGAAGCTTAATAAAAATAAAAATTGGGGATAAAATGAACGAAGCAATAGGGAAAAGCTTCGTTCCTGCTTGTCTGCTGGTGCTGGACACTTTCTGTAGTGGCACAGTATTTGAGTAGATGCTGTTTCTTTGCTTTCTGTATTTTAACAAAGTAGCTTGTCATATCAAAATCCAAGGAAGTTCTGTCTACATGATTGCAATTGTCCGTGATGCTTTCTTCTGTGAGCTGTGTGGCTGGTTGACTCTGCCAGCACTCCAAAATGATGGTTATGGGAGTCAGCGCCTAAGGCTGCTCTTTGGGGTGTAATAACGCTGGAGAGGTGCAAAATGTCAACTCTTCTCCCATTGCAAAAGCATCTCTTGATAATGGGATGGAAGAAAATTCAATGCTCACAAGACCCTGCCGAGACCATGAGCCCTTGGGCACGGGAGGGGAAGGCAGGGTGGAGGTGGGCTGCCACTTTTGGGAGCCTCGCTGCTGGGCTGTGACCCACCCCAAAGCGAGAGCACCCCTGCCCACGTGGGCTTGCGAGCACGTTTCAGGCTGTATCCACACGGAGTAATCAGTGGTTGTTAAAATGAAACTTAATCACATTAACACTCAAAACAGAATTAAGAGGTAATACCCAAAGGAGTGAGCTGTTGTGATCCATGCTCCCCATGTTAAAAAAAAAGACCTCTGCACGGCAACCACAGGGATCGGGCAGAAAATCCTCGGGAAAACTGACATTCACAACCAAAACCTGTAGTTTTCTTTTTTTTTTCTTTTTTTTTTTTTTTTTCTTCTTTCATACTAAGGGAGAAAAGAGCTGCAAAGGAGCAGCAGGGGAATTAGAAACATAATCTATTGAAAACGCTGGTGTGGTGGGAACAATTTCTGGCTCCCCTGAGCATCTGTTTCGCTGGAGAGAAATGCTCTCCCAAGTAGATTCAATCATAAACTATCATCTGAGAAACTGCAAGATTCTCATGAGCTGTAACTGGAAAACACCAGCCTCAGAGGCACACAGAGAATTTCCTTTTTTTCCCAGTGAGACAGGGGAGAGGAGGGAAGCCCCACATGAGGGTGCAGGAGGCTCTCATTGTGTGCCCATGCAGGTGGGAGGGATGGAAGGGGACCAATGGTGACCTATAGAGAAGACCTAAGGAAGGAATTCTTGGCTGTGAGGGTGGGGAGGTCCAGGCACAGGTTGCCCAGAGAACCCTGGAAGTGTTCAAGGCCAGGCTGGATGGCGACTGGAGCGACCTGATCTAGTGGAAGGTGTCCCTGCCCGTGGTAGGGGGTTTGGAGCAAGATGAGCTTTAAGGTCCCTCCCAAGCCAAACCATTCCATGACTTTATGACACATTTGCCATCCAGCACAAGTGATGGCTTCTTGGGGAATGTAGTGGTCCCAGCCCTGATATCCATGGTCAAGGAGCGGCCCATGGGTACCTGTGGGTCTCGCTCCATCAGCATTGAAGCAGCATTACAAATAATACTAATAATACTAATACCATGACAAGCAAAGCAAGGCTTTGGCAAGGTGGTAAAATACACTCTGAGCAGGTTTGGTCTGCCCAGGTGTGACTTGGAGGGGAGAAGCAGGGAGAGTATCAGGGGGATTAGTACCCCCACTGGTTGGGGAGGGAATGAGGAACTCTTCTGGACCCTGTGTTTTCTTTTAAAGCCTATGAGAAAGTGTTACTATTTGCCTAATATACAAGCACAGTTTTTAAAAAAAAAAAAAAAATCGATCAAACTTTAAAAAAAAAAACAAAACCAAACATATAAAACAAACAAACTTCTGGTGGAGAAAAGCACCAAACTCCCATGGTCTCGTGTGAGTGAATGATCCCAAGGTGTGTGCGAATTTACAGTGTCTGGAGTTGTATCAGTGTGTCAGGTTCCTTTGCGTTTAAATAATTTGTACAAGCAGGTTGCGAGTTAGGATGAGTTTAAAAACAAAACAAAACAAACATCAACAACAACAACAACAAATCTAGAAACAAAACATCAATAGTTTACAGGGTTTTGTGAGTTTAAATGCCTTATATTTAACAATCATAATTTATGACTAACTTGTAGATATTGTGGGTTCTTATTTAATTATTTTTATAGTTGTTTTTTTGCATTTTTAATTATAATTTATTTATTTAGAAATTACTACTAATTTTTTTTATTACTCCTATTACCTCATTTTTGCATTGTTTCTGGGAATGGAATGCTTTGCATGCATCGGTACTTAAAATAAAATTAAACAGGGGATGTGGGGGGTAATGCTTATCTTGTCAAAAACAATTAAAAAAAAAAAAAAGAGAAAAAAATCAGGGTGTGTGATTACAAACTGTATTACTGTGGTGCTGTTACCTTGGATACATTCCATAAAAATGCAAACCTTTGATTCTGTATGCTGTGACATAGTGGAAAACTGCAATATAGTGACTGTGTTTAGCACATATATATGAATATTATTTGCACTCATAATCAAACTCTGGTGATCCTTTCACTTGTGTCCTTGCGCATTGAAGGCGGTTAACGACGCTCTGCATAAGCCAAAATGTTTTGGTTGTTTCCTGGTACTGCCCTGTCCCTGATGCCTCTGGTGATGCTGCTGCTGCTTGGGAGACCCTGCAATAACACCCAGCAGGCTCCCACTGCAAGGCTGTGCTTGGGGCAATGCATGCCTTTGGTGCAAGACTCTGAAAATTGTGTCAAAAAATGAGGAAGGAAGCCCAGGTGAGGTGGCTCTGTAATTTTTGGCGTCTATCAGTGCTTGGTTTGGCTCTTTTCATCCTCTGTGTGTGCGCCCAGCTGGGGTGAAGGAGGCAATAGGGTGAGCCTGAGCTTGGAGGCAACAGAACTGAGGGATTCAATGCAGTTTTTAGGGGTTGGCTTCTTTACTCAGAGGCTAGGAAGGCTCTGGCATAGGTTTCCCAGAGAAGCTGTGGCTCCCCCTGGATCCCTGGAAGTGTCCAAGGCCAGGCTGGACGGGGCTTGGAGCAGCCTGGGACGGTGGAAGGTGTCCCTGCCCATGGCAGAGGTTGGAACGAGATGAGCTTTATGGTCCCTTCCAGCCCAAACGATTCTGTGATCCTGTGACACCATGTCCAGCTGAGAGTGGTTGGGATGGACGTGGGATCCCTTTGCCATCTCTTTGCAATGCCTGCCACGAGCACAAGCTGTAACCCAGCTGAGACACGCATGGAGCAGAAGCACTTAACACTGATCTTGACCAGTTGGTTTCATCCCTCCTGTACAGGAGGGAACCTCAATTTGGAGCTTTTCAGTCCAGTGTAGAGCTGGGACCTGCCCCAGAGCTCTCCTTTCCCCAAGGATGGGGTCAGCCCCGAACTGACATGGCAAAGCATCCCCATCCTGCCATGGCTGCACCGCTCTTGCAATGCATTGCCCTTACCCCAAAGGCTCCTCAGTATCACATGTTCCAGCTTTGCCAGAAGGTTAGAGAACCTTTGAAAACATTTTAAGCTTTAAGCCATAACCATGCTTGGTCAGTGCAGACATTCAGCCGTGTACAGACAGAAGTGGGGTTTGATGCATGTGCTCAGCCAGTAGCCATCCTCCCCACAAAAAGGCTTTGGATGAATTTCTCAGTTGGGTTAGAAAGGCACAAAATCACAGTACCTTAATTTTTTTCTCTCTGTCCCTTCAGGGTGCTGCGCTGCTTTGTTGACTTTGCCTTACCCCAGGTTTTAAATCTGTCTGTGTATTTTACCTTGCTGCTCTGTAACACTCCTCCCCTGTAGCCTGGAGCTGTGATTTTGAGCTGTGTGGGGACAGGGGGGGTTGGCTGTCCTCCCCCCTACCCCCCAAAGTCACTGTAAGAGGGATAAGCAAAACAAGGAGCGAGTAAACAAAACCCCCTCTCCTTTAATGACCCGGGCAGGTGAAAGGATCACCCACATTTTTGTATTCCTACTGCTGTTCTGTTGTGCTGTGCAACATTTTGCTACATAGACTATTTTATAGAAGAAAGCTAGAAAAATATTTATTATTAATATTAAAGCAATAGTGCATTGAAGAAATGGAAAGACATTAGAAATTGTGTAAATGCTTAGATTCACTTTTGGTGGATTTTTTGTACTTTATTTATAACTAATAAAACAAACCGCATTGCTAACTATAAACCTGTGCCACGCAGAAGCCACCTGGCAGGGCGGTCACTTGGTCTTTATTTACTGCTCATTTCTGGTTTCTTTGGGTTGGAGTCAACTCTCCTGCCACTGCTTGTGTCTTTGATGTGCAGGAGAACCACTGCTGGGGTATAAAATACTCTGCCCATCTGGTTTGCAGAGGCTGCTGGTGGCTGAGCCCCATGGCAGAGGTGAGGTGATGCTCTCCACAGCGGGCACATTGCTGTGTGTGGTGACCTGTGGCACCAGTTTGGTGATCAGGTGCCAAAACTGCTTCCTAGAATTTCAGAAAATTGCCTGTTAAAGAGAGATTTCCCCTCTAAACACGTCACATGGTGCCTGTAAGGTATCTCTAGCAGGTCCTGCAGAGGTATCTACAGGCTCTCCCACCATCCTGGTGGAGAAGCATTTCCTTCTGTGTGGGTCTCTAGTTTAGTAACTAAGGAAAGGAAGAAAAGATTGAAGATTGATTGATTGGAAGAAAAAAACCCCAAACCCTTCAAACTAATTCAGGTACATTTGAGGGTATTTTCAGTCCTTGGGAAATTGGCAATTTTTGATACCCATTGGAGAATCCAATGGGTCACACCCAGCTTTACGTCCTGCAAAATCCATTCTGTAGGTCCTCCTGTGCTTTTTTTTCCTCCCACACCAAATGGTGCCAGTCTCTGCTCCTGCCCACTCTTGATTCAGCTGCTCCTCCTGAAAAGCTGAGACCAGTGCCCAGCTTTGACTGTGTGATTAGTCTAAATAAGCCTTGGAGACAAGAGGCTGCTGATCATAGAGGTTTGGCTCATGTGGCTGAAGGGAATTGCCAGCTCCTCCAGCATCCATCAAAAGCTGCATAAGGGACGAGCCATACTCACACAACACGAAGCTCTTGTTACAGGAAGCTTTTAGAAACTAAGAAAACAGAAAACAGGTTAAAAGTGGCCTGCTGGTCCAGCTGGGGAAAATCTCAGTTTCTTGCTGAGATCCTGCTGATGTCCTTCTAAAGGGTGACGACGCTGAGAGAGGTGCTGCAGATGGCAATCACATTTGTTTTGGAACTGGAGCAGCAAACAGGCTGCCACAATCTGATAACAGCCCTGCTGAGCACAGTGCCTGCCTGGGGAGGGACAGGGGCTGTGCTCATCACAGCACAGCAGCAGGGACCAAGATGCAACATCTTTATTCACCGTCAGCATCTGCTCTCGCAGCAGCTGCCCAGGGTCAGGATGCTTAGCCCTTATCGGTGTTTGGTGGTGTCTCAATCTGCAGCTGGCCCACAGGTTGCAGCTCAGAGCTGTACAATCCCATTAATAAATTTATTTTTTCTTGTTTTTAGTTTTTTTTCCCCCCTTTTTTTTCTTTTTAGTTCTTTTCTAGTTAGAATGAACCTCTAGACATAACAAAGATTGTAAGATATTTCCTGTATACAGAATTTAAGATACTTCACATCTCTCAGTCATTCCCCCTTCATGAGCCTAAGGTTCATGTAGACATATGATGCTACCAAAAATGCCTAGCAACAATTTCATAGGGATTTGCAAATAATTCTCTGTGTCCTGCACCAAGAGGCAACCGGCCCTTCAGCATGAAACACTGCTAAGTACTCCTTGTTTATGCTTGTTTTTGCTGGCAGCACACAAGTGGTTTACTAAAGCACTTTAAAAATTTACTTTTAAATTTAGTAAACACTGAACTTCATCTGAGTCCCAAAATGGTGGAGAGCACAAATACAACGGGACAACCAGGTTCTGAAGACTCACAGAGTGGTACCAGTCTTGTCCTTTGCTCTTGCTTCTTATTTACATTGTTGTTTTAGGAAGAAGGAATGTGCATTAAAATGCCACCAATTAGGAAATAAAGTGTAAAAAAAGAAGGTAGATGGCGGTGGTGGGAGCAGGACCTTTGTATCTCCCCAACATATCAACTTTGAGATGCTTGGCCTCCACAGGAAAAGATTGACTAAGCCCTGCAAAAGGCACAAGACTAGGAAAATTTTGGCTTTTCTCCTCCCTAGATCTCCACTTGGCCAAGAATGTGTTGAATTTAGCAGCTTAATGCAAATCCAGCCGTTGGAAAAACTCCACTCTTGCCTTATTACTTCTGTAGCATTAGTTGTTGTAGCAACAGAGGGATTCCCCAGAGCCAGGGTGGAGCTGAGCCTTGCACTAACGAGGGGCTTGTTTGAAGTCTTTAGTGGAAAAAAGAGGAGCTCTTTCATGCTTTGCCAAGGTTGCCTTCCTGGGAAACAGTGAGGGTGCTGACCCTCTATCAGCAAACTCTGCCTTGGCCCTTTTCAGGGCAGCTTTGCTTGGAGCTTTTGTGTTGAATAAGCCTGTCCAGGGATGGCAGGTGGCCTTGATGACAACACAGATACCTACAAACCCATCTCCCACCTACACAGTGACTTGGTCACCCTGAAGATTAATTAATTCCTGCTTCAGCTGTGCCTCAACCCATGGTTCTAGCCACTTGGTACCTGTGATTCCTCCCAGATGTGAGCAAGTCTCACAAGTAAGGTAAGGATTTATCTTCCCTCCTTGCCCCGGGAAGGGATGGTGTGTGGGTCAGGAGCTGCCTCACTGCTCCCCAGGGCTGGAATCATAGAATCATCATGCGATCACAGAATGGTTTG